TCGCCAACATGCCTGCGGACAAAAGCTTAAACAAATGGACGCATTAAAAAAATGCTAAGATGCATACAGGTCTGGTGAATTTTACCAAACTGCAAACAAAACATGTCAAAACCCAATGCAGTGTGAGTTTTGCTGGCTGTGTTTTCTTCACCAGAGAAAGAACTTGATTTTTTTAAAATTCAAATCTGTAACTGTACATAATGAGAAAAATACCACAATATCAGTACAAAACTGAAAGGTTTTAATTGGTACATATATTGGTACATATTGGTACATTAACTGGTACATATTGGTACATAAACTGGTACATATTGGTACATAAACTGGTACATATTGGTACATAAAAACACATAGAAATCTTTTTAAAAAAAAGTGTCAGGAATTTTTTAAGGTGAAAGAGACATCTGATGGAGACTCTCTTGAAATGTTGCTAAAATGCTGTTGATTTTAGGCATTCTCATACAGCTGCATTCGACAGATTTGATGACATAGATCCTGTGAGAAAGCTACAAAACATAGCGACATTAATAGGAGAACTGACAGTCAAGAGAAGACAAATTCTAGTGTTGTCTCCAAAACAAACTGACAACTTTAATGACACTTTTGGTTGCAGTCTGTTGAGTATTATCATATTCATAATTCACAAGTGGTAAATCAGGGACAAACAGATTTATATCTCCCTAGACAAGCAGTAAAAAGAATTTATTCATTAACATTAAGTGTTGTTCTACCATTTTACTAAGAAGGCTGGCTAATGACCAAGTCGGTTTGGAACTTGGCAGCAAAGAAGCAACAACACAATGTCAAGTTTGCTATGAGAATTGAACACACAGGAGAAGCTAAGGCATCGTTCCCATACCAAGATAAATCTTGTGATCGTTGTAAAATTTTGTCCTTTTCACAAAATGAAAGTACAACAACACTGAGCGTCCATGTGGTTTTAGAATGGTTAAAGATACTTGTGAATTATAATTTTTTATACAAGTGTTTCTACTTCTCTTCTATTGTAGGACAAATTGCGATGAGGAAATTCCCAAAGATTTTGTGGATGTTGCACGCAACATGGTGTTACCAAAAATATCATCCATTGAAAAAGTGAAAAAGATGCATGGAAAAGATTTTGTGGATGTTGCAGGCAACATGGTGTTACCAAAAATATCATCCATTGAAAAAGTGAAAAAGATGCATGGAAAAGGGTGCATTAAGGCACTATTTAAAGGAAAAGTAACAAAGGTTATTAATAGTTTTTTTACTGTGATTTCAACTACCTGTCTTTATTTTTTTAAACTGATTCATACAAAACTTATTTCTTAATTTTTGTTAACTATTACTACATTCACATAAAGTTGCTTCAAATGGCTGAAATCAAGGTTAATCTCATAACATTCTATTATACCTAATTTTGCTCTACATCTACATCACCACTGTTATTATATGCATATGCATCTTATTGTACTATATTCCAGCAAGTTGGACAGTCACATTTAGACGAAA